TCAGAGTTCCTAATTCTGAGACAGAGAAACTAAAAATAATTTCTTTAAAAATATCCCTATGCTGTTTACAAAAAATCACAGATTCTTTTCATACCTGGAAGGAAACGGACAGCATCTGTACCAGTTAAAGAGTTGCATAAGGCTTTAGTTCTCTGCTATTTATAAAACATGTTCATATCATATGTAACATCAGGAGGCAGTGTACAAATCTGGATAACTTATATATAAAGCAGTTACAGTGAGACCACATAGTTAAGCAGCCAATAAGAAAGACATCTATCAAACAGGAAGAAAATGCAAAGCATTTTTAGAAGATATTCCTTACTTAGAAGAACCTCTAGTACTAGAAGATGAAGTTAGATCAGCACTCCAGTCATTATCAAGTCGGAAAGGAACTGATGGAATACCCACTGAAATATGGCAAAGCAAACATCTGTCCTCTGAATATTGATAAATTCAATAAAGTTGATGTCAAATGCAGACAGAACAACCCTCCCAGTCCTCTATTTCCCACCTGTCTTATATATATTATAATTATTAATATATTTTAAAAATAGATTGAGTACATTTCATCAAGACGTTGTCAGCTCTTAGTGACCACTTAGAGAAATATTTTTAAGAGTTGATCTTAAAAATGGACTGTTCTAATGAGACTTTATCTTACTATGATCTAAACTTAAACTGCTGCCATTAGGTTAATATCTATTTTTAAAAAATCTTTTATATCAGATTTTAATGTAGCCTGTAGTCTTGTGCATTTCTCTGAAATAGAAAGGCAGGATAGAATTACCCTAATAAATAAATACACTTTCTTCAAATGTTATACATTTGATCAGAAAAACATACATTATTTTTTAATTACCTTTCCCTTTTTCTACACAATCAAGAAATATGTGGCAACAGCAGCGTATAAATAATGGGAAGTGAATGGGGCTTAGCAGGTGGAACACCTGAATGACCTTATTTGGACTCAGAGACTAAGGAGGATGGGGTCTGGTTGGCACTTGAATAAGAGACCATGATGGTATGTCTAGTTTGTAGGCCAGACTGAGAAAAAAAAACAAAAAACCTCCAGAAAAGCAGCAATGGCAAACTACTCCATATTGAGGAAATGACTTCCAGATAATGCCATATGAAACAACGAATATATGATGCTTTGTCTGGTGAGCCATTCTGCTAGCTCTTTAAGTTTATACCAGAAACTGAAGAAATCAGTGAAATATCAATTCATGGTCTCATATGGCACCACCCAGAAGTCATTTCTCTAATAAATAGCAGTTATGAAGACCTTGACTTGATGTTGGTAACCATACTGTTACCAAGAAAACTACACTGATGTTCATGATGTTGCCAGGAATTAAGTTTGCTTCAAATGAGACTTTTTAAACAAATAGAATTTGTATGAAAGCAAGCTTCATTTTTATTACTCAGGACACAGAAAACAAAGAGGAAATGGTATTGCTTTTATAGTTAGGAAGGGTATAGCAAGAACAGTACTTGGCTACAATGCAATCAATGACCAAATAATATTGATTAGACTTTGTGGACAACCGTTTAATATGATGATCATTCAAGTTAATGCTCCAACCACTGATGCAGAAGAGGAGGCTGATGACGTCTATGATCAAATTCAATTCAACAGAAATCAAATTGACTATATTATTGCTAAAAGGAGGTAGAGGAACTCAATTATAGCATCAAAGACATGGCCAATTATAGCATTGAAGACTGTGGTACAAATCACAAATTGCTCATGCGCAAGGTCCAAGTTAAGCTAAAGAAGAAGAAGAAAGCCAGCCAGTTTCCATGATATGATCTTGAACATATACCCACCGTTTTCAAGGAGAACATCAGGAATCACTTTGAAGTCCTGAACCTCACTGACAGAGAACCAGAGGAATTATGGAATTAACTTAAAGAAATTAAGAAAAGCAAAATGGATGTCAGAACAAACCACTTAAATTGCCAAGAGAAGCCAAAGCCAAGAAAGACAAAAATCTCAAAAAGGAACTTAACAAAGAGTTTCAGAGAGCTGTTAGAAGAGTCAAGAAGCAGTATGACAACAAAATCTGTAAAGACACCACCCAGAGTCACTTTGTGAGATAGGAGGCTATATACATGAGATGTATAAATAGATGAAAATTAAAAAAAACAATGAAGATGGAAACAAACATGGAAAAACAAGGAAAGTCTTTCAAAAGATCTCTGAACTCAAGAAAGAGGTTCCAACCTCGAATTGGTATACTGAAGAACGGCAGTGGATAGATAATAGCCAATTCAAAGGAGATCAAAGGAAGATGGAAGGGATACACTATACAGCAGAGATGTCAACATCCAAGATATGTTAGAAGATATTCCTTACTTACAAGAACCTCTAGTACTAGAAGATGAAGTTAGATCAGCACTCCAGTCATTATCAAGTTGGAAAGCTACAGGAACTGATGGAATACCCACTGAATTATGGCAAGCAACAGAAGAAAAATCAGTCAAGGTTCTAACCAAGCTCTGTCAGCAAATCTGGAGAACTACACAGTGGCCAAATAATTGGAAGAAGTCAATCTACATTCCAATACCAAAAAAGGAGACATAACAGAATGTGCAAACTATCATACAATATCCTTAATTTCACACCTAGCAAAATAAAGCTTAAGATCATCCAACACAGAGTAGAGCCCTACATGGAAAAAGAGATGCCAGATGTTCAAGCTGGCTTTAGAAAAGGCTAAAAGGAACATGTGACATCATTGCTGATTCACACTGGATAATTGAAAAAGCCAAAGTATAATAAAAATAAGTCAGTATGCGCTTCATCAATTATAGAAAACCCTTTGATTGTGTTGATCACGTCAAGCTGTGGAATGTGCTCAGAAAAATGGGAATCCCAGAACATCTCATTGTCCCCATGAGAAACTTATATACAGGTCAGGAAGCCACAGTCCGGACAGAACATGGTGAAACGGACTGACTCCACGTTGGCAAAGGAGTGCAGCAAGGCTGCATACTCTCCCCTTATTTACTCAACCAATATGCTGAATTTATATTAAGGGAAGCTGAATTGGAAGAATATTAGTGTGATTTTAAAATTGGAGGAAAATACATCAACAACCTGCACTACGCTGAGGACAGTACCTTGGCAGCTGAAAATCAATCCTTTACGATCTGCAAGCCCTAGTACTAAAAGTCAAAGAGCACAGTGAAGAAATGGGACTAAAATTAAATATAAAGACCAAATTACTGATAACAGGTAGAACAACCAGCCTTAGAATTGACAATGAAGATATCGAAGTGGTGGATAGCTTCTGTCTTTTAGGATCAACCACCAACAGTAAAGGAACAAGCAGTCAAGAAATACACCACAGATTAGCACTCAGTAGAGTAGACATGAAGGCCTTGGAAAATATATTCAAATGCTGTGATATGTCTATACTTACAAAGATCAGAACTGTGCAAGCCATGGTATTCCCTGTGACACTTTATGGAAGCAAAAGTTGGACTATGAAGAAGCAGGATAGGAAGAGTATTGATGCTTTTTAAACTTTGGAGTTGGAGAAGACTCCTGAGAATACTGTGGACAGCCAAGAAAACAAACACTGAACAACTCAGCCCAGAGTTCTCACTCAAGGCACAAGTGACTAGGCTCAAATTATCCTACTTCGAACATATTGTGCATAGACCCAGTTCCCCAGAAAAGGCTGTAATGCTGGGAAAGGTAGAAGGAAAGAAAAGAGGACGACTAGCAGCAAGGTGGGTGGACTCAGTTACAGAAGTGATGAGTGCACCGTTGGGAGACATGAAAGAACAGGTTAGGGACAGAATGTCTTGGAGAAAATCTATGTGGTTGCTAGGAGTCAAAGATAACTTGATGGCACATAATCAATCAACCAAGGTCCTTATTAAAGAAATCTACCTATATTTCTAGCAACATTAAGTATTACCCTATATGTTCATATTTTATTAAGATGATCAAGGATATGGCTGCATCTCTATTTCTAGATTTTATGAATGAAATTTATTATTTGGATCCATTTCAATCTGTCTTCTCTGCACTGTAGTAATAAACCTGCCAATAATTCTAAGCTCATTTTTTTAAAAAAAACACCTAATCTAAGTGTATCATTATGAATTAAACATGCACATACATGCACTTTATTCAGCGTTCGGGAAGTCAGAAAAGTGAACAATACTTAATTTGTCTCATACAAGACTCAGAATAACAAGTAACAACAAGATGGTTGACACACTTGTTTCTGCAAGAACTCAAGAACCTCTGTCTTGAAGGGAAAATGTAATTTGCTATTGCCAAACTCCAAAAATGGGTGTCCAAATAAAGCTTTTCATATCTCAATCAGTGTAATTATTTAGGTCAACATCTTCAGTTTCCCAATGGCAATATATTTAATTGTTAATAATATTAAAACCTAAGCACACTCATCATTTTCAAGTATAAACAATTTATACTTTTAATTGACCTTTAAAGTATGGATGACTTTACCAACTTATTTCCATATTAAGTGATCTCATGTGGATGTTCTGTGCTTTTGTGCATATTATTTGGTTTATCACAGCTAACTGGCAAGAGGCAGTTTGGTGTAATGATTAAGGCACCAGGCTAGAAACTGGAAGACCATGAGTTCTAGTCCCACTTTAGGCACAAAGCCAGCTGGGTGATCTTGGGCCAGTCCTCTCTCTCAGCCCTAGGAAAGAGGCAGTGGCAAGCCATTTCCAAAATCTTGCCAAGAAAACTGCAGAGACTACTCCAGGCAGTCACCAGGAGTCAACATTGACTCAAACACATGCGCATGCATGCATGCACACACACACACACACACACACACACACACACACAGAGAAATACACAAAACTGGCCATAACCCCACCTTTTAGAAATTGACTCAGTTTAGAAAATTATTTTAATATTCCAGACATATTATATTTTAACAAAAAGAAGAAAAATCTTACTTAATGCATGAGAAGTAGACCAATAAAATACAACAACTTACTGTTTCCAATGCTGTTATTCGTTCCTGTATTAAAAGAAAACAATGAAAAAGTGTAACAAGATCATGACAATAACTTTGATAAAAGACATAAATGTAGTACTTCATTCAGATCTTACTACAAGATATGTCCACATAGGATTACTGTTTTTATGATAAAGTAAACAATGTTGCTGCATTTGTATTTTTATTTTTATTAATCATATCATTAATTATATTAAATATTAATTATAGTATTTGATTACAGTACTATACAATGAGAATCCTCCCATCCTTCTTTCAGAGCAACCATGAGAAGAAAATAAAAAACATTTACTTAATGGAAATTAGTTAAATAGACAGTGCATGAAACCACTATTTCCCTTCATTGTTTTAGTTACCATTCCATTTAATGCACTGCCTTCTGTGAATGTAAAACAGACAATTTAAATCCATTTTCCTTTCAGATTCATGTTTTCTTTGTTGCTACACAACCTTCTGCTAAAGGTCTATAGTACACTTATTTAGAGAACTGGCCTAGGTCATTCTACTCAAGCAAGCAAAAGAAGCTAGGAACATCAGCCCAATCACCCTTATTTATGAAACTTATTTATATAGTTATTTGTATGATCATGATAGCGACTGTGACCAAAGACAAAAAAAGCAGTATTGCTGCCAGAGAATTTGGTGTGAATTGTTGAAAAGCCTGGGATTACAGTCTATATATGCCAAAGATAAACCAATTTGAAGGCCTTTAAGACAGAACATGGTAGGCATCTGGAAAGAAGGAAAAATATGTATAGTTAATGGCTCTGAGGAAGAACAGGTCTTAATTTTGGACTGATGATCTCTTTAGGCAGAACAGCTGATGTTTAGCAACTATCTAATCTATTTCTAGGTTTTATCATGGAATAGGAGAGATTGCTGAGTTATCTTCTCCAACCTGAATATTATTTAAATGGCTGAAAAAAATCAGTGCATTTTTAAGTATATTTTATAAAATATTAAGGTTTTAATAATAAAAACACTAGAAAATGGCAGATTTGTAGAGGAGAAAACCTAATGACACCATATGTGCAGCTATATAAATATATAACTAGTTCTGTCAACCGAACGTGTGATTATCTCTGCCCACAGTTCCTTGCTAAATCAAAACTGTTTATGAAACAAAGACTAAACTTTTTAAATCTCTATACCTAATACTAGAAAACTAAGTCTTCTGTGGGTTTACCTTCCCTTCACAGGATGTCTCAACAGGAAGTATCAGAAATAGTTCTTATTGTAGAGGGAACAGATGATAGATTTACGCAGCACTGTCTGGTCATGAACACCCTTCTTACAAAGCTGGCAACCCTGGAATTTGCCAGTTGGGTTGGTATCTGTTTATATGCAACTCACTATGTTACAACAATTTAATCAATAAGTTGTATTGTTTTTTTAGAAGGATTTCAGACCTTTGCATTTTGGGCACATGGCTGAAATTAAATAGGCAACTTTCCCAATTATGCACAAAAATACATATTTAACTGAGTTAACACACAAAGGTTAACCAAGCATTTCCTTTCAGACAGGTAAAGAAAAATTATGGAAGTATCCACAATCAGCCTTGGAGGAAGATCTCTTTGTCTTTATACGGAGGGTTCAGTAAAACTTCTGAGTAAGCGCAAGAGTCTTGTGGCAACTTAAAGCTGAATAGATAAATTGTATAAAATCTGTTAGATTTCAAGGTACCAGAGAACCATGTGGGTTTGCCAATTCAATAACTTAACAGAGCTATCCCTCTGGGATTTAGTCTTGTGATATACACATTAGGTATCTGTAAACTTGCCTTTATTTATTTATTGCCTCAGAGTTTAGCATTTTTTTTTCAGAATTCAGTATGTATTATCCTTGGTGGATAATACATACAGTACAAACCATGGATGTGGGTGTCTGTGGTTTGTATGCATTATCCAGCAAGGATTCACAGTACTTCATGCAGCTGACAAAGTAGGTTCTTGCCCATGAAGATTTATGAAGAACACATGTAACTTCTAGTCAGGAATCTGGCCTATAATCTGATGGATTCTATTTTGTGATTTACATGAAAAAGTAAAGTGGTTCAGGAACAGAATTACTTGAGAACCTGAAGGGACACTGGCTGTTTATATGCTATGTGCCAGAAATATTTAAAACAACAAAGTAATCAGCAATCTAAATATAAATTTAAGGAAAGCATGGATTGGAAAGATTTAAACCAGATCTTATTGAGAATCTTGAGGGTTAAGTCATACTCATGAGAATTGCAAGGGGAAAAAAGTGACCTATCTCCATATTTTGGGAGCATTGTGTACATTTGGAATTTTGAGAGAAGTTCAGGGATAAGTTCACAAAATGAGTTTGGAGGGGAATGCTTTCAATAATGGTTGCCATGGCAGATGTGACCAATTATAAAACATACATGTAACCAATTATAAAACATACAAGCATATAATTTGCCAAAGTGCCACACAAAGCTGGAAGCTTGAGCATCTAAACCTAAAGCGATTTGCTGTTCTAGCATCTATTTCATAAAGGGGTTGCTAATGATGCTCCAGGACAAATACCTTGGCTAGAAATCAAATGCAAGATAGTGGTGGCACCTGAATCACAAAGGTTAAATCATATCCTTGCTTCAGAACAAAGGCCACTTATATAAAAGACAAACTGCAGATGCTGAGAGAGATATACAAGCACAATATATACATAATACAAATACTAGGTAAAGCACACATCACATCCAAGCAAAGTGCACAACGGGTAAACAAAGGCAAAACACTGCATGTACTTAACAAACACCCACCAACATATTCCAGACAAGACTTAGATCACATCGAAACATACAGACATGAAGTAATAGATGGTCTACACATAAAATTCACACAAATGCTTTCACAGAATTTTTTTTTAATGTCTGAAAAACTAGAAATCCATCAAGTTGAAGGGGGCCGACCAACCATATATCTATAGCTTTCTAAATGCCAGACAACTAGGCAGGCGATGTAAGATAAGGATTATTGAGCTAATCACTATGTTGATTTTGTTCTGGGTCCTGCTGATGTTGGGGGTATGCAAGGTAGGCATGAAGGACAGAGAGTTTCTAAATATTCTTGGTTTTTTTGTTTTTTTTTTGAGGGAAAGCTAATTTCTCATTGAGCACCCAAAATTTACCTTCAGAGAAATACCCAAATTTCTTTGGTTGGAAAAAGGTAAAGGCAGCAAGACATGAATGAGTTATTTAATACTTTATCTTTTCATGCAAGAATGCCACTGAAGGCATAGTTCTAAAACTTCCAATTACTACATAATGAAACCTAGTAAGAAAGATTGTTTTTAAACAAAAGAAAAATGGAACCAATTAGCAGATTGGGAAGGTAAGAATGTCAGTTGCCACCAATGTCATACCCTATTTGAATTCTTTTAATCTTTAGTAGCTCACAGCATCATGCCAAACCAAGTATTTGACCATATCCATTTTAAAAATATGACATGCAACTCAGTTCATATAATTGCAGTTCAGAAACTAATAGAATTAATATGCATAAAAAGTATTGCAAATCATTTGCAATCTATAATAAAGTAAGGCATAGCACCTTTCTGCTACTAATTAAAGCAGCCATTTTGTTTCATACAAAAATAAGAGTGGACATGGGAGCACAAGACTTCTAGCTGCGAAATATAGCCATTCCCACACTTAGAATTCCCTGAAAGTAATTTTTTTTTTTTAATGAATATCCCCCCGACCCACCCAACACTGGAGTAATCTGTGGACTTTTGCTACTCAGGAGACTCCATTATAGCCCACAACTTGGAAAACTTTGCCCATTCTTGAAATATTGGACCTTTAAATAGGAATTCATGTAATTCATTCATTCATTTAAATCTACACTCTTTTCCATTTTTACTTTTAACTGACATTCAACACCCCATGGACTTTGAACATGCTCAAGCATTATTGGACTATTTGAGCCTTTTTTTCCCTGTCTCCTTAGCCTTCCCTTGGGTCCCGCCTGCAGTGGTATATGATCTTGATTAGTGAATAAAAGGAGGAGGACGTAATAAGAACTAGCTAAACAAACAAGGCTTGGACAATGCTTAGGAAAAACTATATAACTTCAGAGTGCTATGTTGCTGTATGAATGGACATGATGCCAATAAGATTCATATGTAAACTTCAGATATTTTATTGACCCACACAGGCCTAATCCAGTTACACAAATCCATGGAAGAACTCAACATAATTCCCCTTAAAATAACATATTAATAAATAAACCTATAAAATTGTCCTATATTAAATATACTAAGAAGATAAATTGATTCATTTCCTAGATTAGTACAAAGTTGTATGTTCTTAGTAGATTATTTTAAAAGTTTGTGTCAGTTCCTAAGTAGTGAAGCCATAACAATATCAGCTACTATGTTTAATATGTCTACTGACTTTGCCTCCTACTATCAATTTACATAATTATCCAATTGTGAGGTTCCTAATAACTACAAGAGCAGTGTTAGCCTTAGAATTTCTGTATATGTTCAGAATAATTACATGATATAATCCTGCTAGGCTTGTATCATTCAGAATTAAATTGAGGGAAAACATGGCTACATACTATCTAATGTCTCCAGTAGACAACAGATTGGCATATTAGAGATAATATTAGGTTATATTCTGTTAAGTGCTAATTTTCTAAACTCTGAAAAACTATTCTCCAGAAGATAATTTGTATTTGCAACATACCATTGCAATCTGTAGCCAATTCTCAACCCTAACCCTAATCCTTTTTATAACTAACTGGGCAACAAAAAAATTCTATTCATAGAATCACAGAATTGGAAAGGGTCATTTAGGCTTCCACAATGCAGAAATCCACATTAAATATCCCCAACTGAAGGCAAATGAGAGCTCACCAACTTCCTTGGTAACTAGTTCCACTGTCAAGCCAGTCTTACCATTTCTTAAAGTCACATAATTTAAGAATGTAACCTAGGACTATTATTCTGTATCTACTCATTCTACTCTATAGAAAGGCCAT